CGTGTTTTTGTGTGTTTTTGTGTGTTTCTCTGTTCTCTGAAACACAAACAAATATCTATTTTGGCGTGCAGTAAACCAATATAATACCGTCGGTACTCAAATAATGAATGACATCAACAGTTTCTTAATATTATAGAGCTGAACTTCACAACACTGAGATGTTTGTGTGATGAAAAAACTGAATATTAGATTAGCAAAGAAAAAGGAGCAGAAAGAAGCTGCCAGCAGCTGTGAACCCTTTAATGTCTCGTGTTCGGCTCCAAGAAGGCTAAAAAAAAGAAAAAGATATATTAGACTCTCTTTCTCTGGATTCTCCACCCTTGTTCCCTTTTTTTTTTTCATTTTTTCTCTCCCCCTCCTGTTTTACTGCAGGCTGTAAAAGTCGGAGCCAAAACCTGCTGGACACTTTTATATAGAAAACACTAAAACGGCAAACAAGAGCTGATCACGAACATGGGTGAAAGGAAGGGAAAGGAAAAGAAAGGGAGGGAAAGGAAAGGATGAAGCAGTGGAAGATGTATTTTTAGTGTGTATCTATTAATGTATATATATATATATATATATATATATAGAAGAGAGGAAGAGAGAGGGGGGAGTTAAACTGTGAGTATAACCTGATGAGATCGTCTTACAAACTGCTTAAAACAACCAAAAACTTAAACTGTCACCCTAAAGAGGTCAGTGGATAAGACAACAAAGCTTATATCACAAAGTATATTATATAAAGTATATTATCACACAAATTGTACTTAGTTTAAAAAATCCTGTTTATGAAAAACAACAATAAAGTTAATTTAACTCAAAAAGTGTTGAAACTGATTAGATAGAAGTTTTTAAGTAACACCAACTTGATTATTCTTGATTAAACAGCTTTTAGTAGTAATTTTAAGTGAAGTTAAGTCATTTTGTCAACTTTTATTTTTACTGTGAAAACAAAAAAGCACAAAAGCTTAATTTAATTTTATTATCTGATAAACGTAATTACATAATTGACGGAGCTTTAAGTGTCTTAAAACCTGCGTTGTCTGTAACGGCCAGCAGGGGGCGCTCGATTGGCTGCAGTAACACAGCGATCCCATTCGCTTTAATGGAGAAATGAGCCGACTTCTCACTTCATTTATGAGCTCAGTGAACAGTTTCCTGTTGAGTTTATGGTCTCAGTCGCTAGTTCCACATCTTCTACAATACATTTCGATGTTTATTTAGTAAACAATGGTCCAATTTAGAGTACAATAGACGATAAAGTTGCGTACGAAACTCAGATCAAACTGTCAAACTAGGCAGTGCTGATCAAATACGAAGTTAGATTCTGTTACTGCGTTGACTATTTCTCCCCGAAAATCAACCAACCAGTGCTGGGAAGAAGTATTCAAATACCAGAAGGAGTTTAATACTGTTGCCTCTTTATGTGACCTACATAGAAAACACCATCAGTGAGACGATTGGCTATTTCAAAAGTCGTTAATCTGAATGCCACCGGGTCGGATTCCCCTTGAAATCAATGAAACACTACCACCTTTGTCCACAGGGGGCGCCAGAATCAACACATTAAAGTTCCTTGTTGCAGCTTTAAATAAAGAAGTATCAAATTAAAATGTCCGTCTATGATTGATGTGATTCTGATATTATTAGATTGTTGTTCTGATAGACAATTATACATTAATATTATTTATTATTATTATATAATATCTTTTTGTGTTCAAAAGTGTTAAAATACTTTATAAGAGAACTGCAAACAACTCAGAGACAAGTGAAACAAGAAGAGGATGCAAAACTAGACACTGATTTTACGGTACAATCTAAAAAATTCATTCATTTTTATTAGTGTATTTTATAAAACTTAAGCTATTTGAAAAGAAGCTCTTAAATAAGTGTAGTACATATTTAATAATATTTCAGTTATCCTCTTGCTGCACTTATATATAACATAACTTTGGGAGAATTATTTGATATTTCATCTTAAAAAGTAAACTATGTATTTGTGTACGTACTCTGAATGTATAAAGTTGTTAATGTAAGCCTTAAAATTGATATGTGTTGATCAGAGGTTGCTTTATTTATTAGAAAACTTGAGCTTCAGAGAACTTTTTATAATCACAAGAGTAAGATAATTATTTACATAGGTTTTTTTTAATTAAAAGTTGCTATATTTACAAGTTTTTACGGATTAAGGGATATTTTACAGTAAAAAGTAAATTATCTGTACTGATTTCAGCTGCTTTAAACCCTAATTTTAAGTACAATAAAAAAAACCTTAAAAACAAGCCAATAATAACCTGAATCCACCTTTAAACTTGCTAACACACATGAAACTGTAGCTCTAAAAATATAAAACATAAACTATTTATTAATAATCTATGAATACAGGCAGATTAAGGAGATTATGTGAGTGAAAACGACTCCGGCGCCGGAAACAGAGACGGAGTGAGACCTCCTTCCTCTCACTTTATCCCCTCTTTGACGCATTCCGCAGCAGCGGCAGCGACAACAGGTGTGGCGCAGCCGTAGCTGTTTGTCCCTGCCCGGCTGCCGTCGGAGAAATGGCAGAACAACACAGAACTGTCAGAGACAACTTCTGCTTTCATTGCGCTGCACTGATTTCAGTATAAAGATTTATAAAATATAATAAAATATAAAAATATCACAGCTCGGTGTTTCTGCCGCGACCGTTAGAGACGGTTGGCCGCGCTCACTAACGGTCCCCCGGCGTTCGAACCGTGTCCGTTGGCGGCGGTTGGTAAGTTTGATTAGCTTCTTTTAGCAGTTGGTAGCATGGAGCTAGCCGACTTCAGTTTACTTTTGACCTTTTAAGCGTTTTTAAAACGTTAATACGAAACATTTGGTGGCGAAAGTCGCAACGTGTACAATAAGTATACGTGACAGGACTGTTGGTAATGTCTGTGTTTACACTCAGTGGCAGAACACGACTGCTGTTTATTAGCTAATCTCTGTGTGTGTGTGTGTGTGTGTGTGTGTGAGAATCAGAGTGATTACTGGCTGTAACGTTTATATGATGTGTGTTTCCATAGATACCGAGGCAGGTCAGCTTGTTTGTTTGTTTGTTTGTTTGTTTGTTAGGATCCCCATTAGCTGGGCCCTTTTTATATAACGTATTAAACTGACATATATTTTATAGGTATTTAATATTATATTAAAATCTGAATAATGAACAACAGTAGCTGAAAGAAGTATTTGTAAAATGAGTGATTTGGATCTTTTTTGAGCAGATTATTTCCTCTTTAGAGAACTTTTTATACAATTCTCTCTCTCGTATGTTTTTAACAATCATACAGACTTAATAGGCTCCTTTTTTTTGACAGATTCAGTGTTTTTTCATTGTTCTAATAGCTCTTTTAATGCAGTAATGCGTTTACATCTTAAATAATAATCTAAACTTTAAAGATAATAAGTTAATTTAGTTTTTTTTACACCCCTTTTGGTACTTTAAGGATATTTTGATGCTGAGACTTTTGTACTTTTACTGAAGTAAGAGTTTGAAGGCAGGACTTTTAGTTATAATAGAGTATGTTACATTGTAGTATTGCTCTTTTTACTTAAGTAAAAGGTCTGAACACTTCTTTCACCACTGAAAGCAACGTACGTAAGGGACAAGGACAGACACTTTAATGGTTTTAGTGTGGAGTTGTCAGCAGTGCCATCACAGATCATAAGAAACCAATAAAGATAAAAACAACCCACGCCTGCTCCCACTGGAACCATTACAGTCCAGTACAATTGGGGTAAAATGACTGAAATTAATATCACAAGCGTATAAAAGTTCATTCTTGAACTTGGAAATTGTTGTTTGACAAAATAAACTTTTTCTTAGCAAACTCTTGAAGACTGTAAGATACAATTAAGAGCCCTGGGAAAATCTAGTAAGTTGAACATGAGTTAATATTATTGTGTTAAGCTATTACAATAATAATAATAATATCAAGCACATGTTTCCATTTATATTCATAATTGGAAGTAAAATGAAGAATATTATTCTGATCCTGAGTCTTGGGGAGAATAAAATGACAAATAATGTCAGCCTTTATTACAGTGCCTGACTTAATGTTACTTAATTAAATAAAACCTGTATGTTTGTCCTTTGTTTCTTTAATAAACAGGTGTTTTTACAGGGAATCTGAAGACACATAAACACAAGAGGCTTCAGAAGAGGACAGAGGATTATATTTAGTTCCTGCAAACTAATGTATTATTGGGAATGAATAGAAGAGCTTTGGAGAAAAGATGCCTTCACTGTCCTGTAGGATGGAGAGTCTGAAGTGATGGAGAACAGAGAGGAGGGGTAAATACACACACACACACACACACACACACACACACACACACACACAACTGTCCTGATTATATCTCCCAGCAACCATCACTGGAAATAAGTTGAATTAAAATAGTGAGATCCCACTGAAATCATGTTTCCTTTAGATGTGAGATTAGATTATTAACTTTAGTTTAAAAGTTAAGCTTTTAATTAGCAACTTTATTACTGAAACAGTTGAGTTCAAAGTCTTTTTATAAGTGACAAACTAATTAAAGTTGAAAATCAGTGTCAGCCTCTATAATCCAGTATTAGTAAAAAATACTCAAGTTTTTGCTGCTTAAACTTAAAATAAATCTAATTATCTGGATATGTCGTCTTTGCTATTTCACTATAATTAAGCCAACCTCCATGACTGGCTGCAGCACTATCAGACCCCCGTCAAAAGAGTGTGTGTGACCAGTTTTGCACCTCTGTGTTGCAGTTTGACGTATATACGAGTTTTGTGTACACTGTTTCTGTTCAGACATTTACAGATGTTGTTCTCCCATCGAAACATAACTGCGTGTCAGGGCCCGCAGATGCTGAACAAACAGTTATTGGTTTGACGGATGAATGCAATGGAATTTAATCCGACTTTCATCTGACTTTGTTGTCATTAAACCACAAATAATCTCAATAATATTGTCAGGTTCAAAGCGGTATAGTACGATATTTGTGTCTGTGTGTGATATTGCAGCCCCGCAGATGAGCGGGCCGCCACACCTCCAGAGCGAGGGCTGCTCCACATCTGGCAGTCGACAGGCCCCACCGCGCACCTCGGTCCAGAGAGAGTGCTCCTGTCTAGGCCTGTACTGCAGGCCGCCCTGGGAGAACACCATGGACTCCTGCTCACACAGGGTGAGTGTGGTAAAGTAGGGCTGTTCTGTGCCAACAGGATTGTTCAGTAATTATTTAATAATGGTATTAAAATGTTGGAGTAATGCTCAATAACTAATTGACTGTCAAAATTATGAATGAAATCGCTGCCATCCTTGTAGGTGGTCTGGTGTATTCATTCGGTGAGCTGCTGTGGAGAGATCTGAGCGTCCCGGTGTCGGCTCCGGTGCTGGAGGTCTCTCTCCTGGGGAGGATGGTGGTCCGTGTGGCTGCCGGCGGCTTCCACTGCGGAGCGCTGAGTGAGCAGGGTAACGTCTACATGTGGGGCGAGAACACCGCAGGACAGTGTGGGCTGAGTGAGAGGGCTACAACCACAAACATCACAGGTTGGTCAACACCACACCTCCTTTTTTTTCCATCCATACTTCCTTCTTTTCTTCCCACATTCCCCCGTCTGTCTGTCCCACTGCGCTCACTCCTTACTTTTAGGTCCAACTGCAACAGCCAATGTAGACCAAGTTACACCTTTGGTTGGATTTTATATAGTGGATGGGCAGGCACATATTTCATCATGTGGAGGGAAAAAAACAGGGGAATTTAAACTAAAAACAGCAGCAGAGAATCAGATCAGATGGTCTATATAATTTATAATAGATTATCAGTGTGTGTTCTTACCAGATTTGCTTACAGCACAGGAAAAACATAGAACAGACACTGAAATACTGGAGATTTAGAGTTGGCAGTGGAGCTTTGTGGTAGAAATGAATGAAAGACTGAAGGAGTTAACAGAGGATTTGAATAGTTTTAAACACAGAGCAAACAGCTTAAGATACGAGTGGAAAGAATTGTTCTTTCAGCTGCATTTCTGACATTGTTTGACTCCAATGTAGCTGAACCATGTCATGTGAGACGCTTCCTCAGTACACCATAAGAACAAATACTACTGGGGCTACTACAGAACGATGACAGCTGAATGTTTAATAGACAGCTGATCATACACAGTCCTCAGTTAATACAATATAAAATCACAGTCTATGTAAAATACCCTGTGTCAGTTTCAGAGCCGTGCCCGGTCTCTGTGGTGGACAACGATGTCGTTCCTCCAGCAGTGGTTAGGGTTGTGGATCTGGCCTTGGGACGCGAGCACAGCCTGGCTCTGTCGGCCCAGAACGAGCTGTGGGCGTGGGGCAGCGGCTGCCAGCTTGGTCTGGTCACCAGCACTTTCCCCGTATGGAGACCACAGAAGGTAAGAGTGTATCTGTCAGCTGGTGAGTGGTGAGGACTGTACATTTTAATTCAATAATCACATTTGTAATATTTCCATCTCTGGCACAGGTGGAGCACTTGGCAGGCAGACACGTAATTCAGGTATTTTCTCCTCCTGACATCTTCAGCGCCACATTTATTTGTAAGTTTATACAAAAAAATTATATGTTCTGTGTTCTCTGTTTATTCCTCACAGGTGGCTTGTGGCGCCTACCACAGCCTGGCCCTGGTTCGCAGTCTGCCTCCACAGAACTACAATACCCAGAATCCTTCTGAGAAGACGGAGCGAGGCCACTCAGTGACAGAGAGGGAGGAGCCATTTGCAGTTGATGGCGGTCACTACTGTCCACTCGGGGTGGAGCTGACTGAAGCCATGACAGGCGAGGTAGATATATTCCTGGATGGTGTTTCTGGTTGACTTATAAACCAGTACTTGCTGTGATCTGGTACCAAAGGGTCTTTTATTTACAGCTTTATATCACACTGTTGCTTTCTGCAAGTACCCGTGCTCGTTAAAGAGGTTTTCAGCTGATACGTCTGCATTTCCAGACCTCTCCCAGAAGAAGAGGCCCCAGACGAAGTCTCCAACCTGGGGGAAGGTCAGCTGGCAGCAGCCCTGGCTCTGCAGCGGGCTCATGTCCATTTTCTGAAGACGGGAAAGCGAACACTAAACAGTACAGTATTATGTAACTTATGCGTCTCTCTTTTATCCTTTTCATTTAATGTTTTTCTATTTGAGTTTTTCTCTATTTTACCTCCCATTTCCAGGAAGAACATTCCAGTTGGCACCGACACCGATCCCCTGACTCAGACAGACGGCAGCCCCACGTCCCGCCCTCTGTCAGGCTGGAGATCCAAGAAGAACTCTGCTTTCCCCGATGAAACGGAGCTTCAGAACCTCCTCCAGAAACTCTCCAGTCATTCATTGGAAATGCGCCACACCTCCGGGCCTGGAGATACCGACTCACTGAGCAGTTACACTTCAGGTTGGTGATTCAATCCTGCTCCTTCTTGCTTTAAGATTTCTTTATTAGTCCTTTTATGTATTACCTCATTCACCTCTTTTGTTTTCCTTTCTTGTTCCTTAAGTTGTTCATTCTTTTTTTACTAGTTCCTTTATTTGTTCATTGCCTCATTCGTTTAGTTCATTGTTGTGTTTGTTCCATTGTTCCTTCGTGTTGATGAATGCCTTTTACTGGGCTCCATCAGGCGGTGCAACAATCGCTGCCTGATGATGAAAACCTATTTGGGCTCTTGGCGTCGTGAAGCTGCCCGCGCTGCACACAGCTGATACTAATCACAATGACGCCATCAAAGGGTGTCAATTTATCAATGACACAGTGCTGCGGTTGGCCACATGGGGCACATTACCAACCACACAGCTTATACTAAAGAATTTAACTTAATATTTGGCTCCTACAGTTTGTGTCATTGTTTGTTTGTTACTTCGTTCTTTATAGATTTCGTATTAACTTTTCTTTCTCCTTCGATCTCTAATGTTGTTCTTCCTTCTCTCCAGATGAGAGCTGTGTTTCCTCGACTCCTTCCACGGATCTGTTGACTTCCAGTTACAAAGAAGAGTTGCTAATTAAGAGTCAAAACAACATGTAAGACAGAGTTTTGTTGACAACGAAGCGATTACGATTAAACAGCGTTTCAATAATCTCACGTTGAGAATTGTTAGCTTTAGAATTTTTAGATTTTTATTGCTCTTTACAAGTGATCCTACTTCACCTTTATATGTTATCACTGTGGAAGATGCCAATATTAAAGGGTATTTTCTAATAATGCAGATACAAACTCCATTATGCAGCCACATAGCAAGATGGTTCTCACCGACAGTGTGTTTACCCTCTGATTTCTCACAGTAACAGTGGAGTGGCCGTGCCGTACTCCTCCTCCCCAGTGTGTTTGGAAGACGTTCGGCTTTGTCTTGAAGCGGAGAACAAGGCGCTGCAGGGGCAGAAGAGCTCCAGTCTGACGAATATAAACCAGAAGGGGAGAGTAGCAGCAAACAGGAGACGCTCCCTGCCTGGAACACCCACCCGTGGTAGGAATGGTAGGGTGTGAACAACTTTAAATACACTTTTGGGAAATACACTTATTTGCTTTCTTGCCAAGAGTTAGATGAGAAGATTGATACCCTGGGGTAAGAGTATGCAACCAGGAGGCTATTAGCTAAGCCTAGAGTGAAAGAAACTGCTCACCAACAGATATTCAAAGCATGTAACGTAAAGTTACAATTTATAGTTTTTACATTTCTTTTTCAGTTGGAAATTAAAGTGTTTTTGAACTTTGATAGGAGCTGTTGAGAGTGGTGTCAATCTTTTTCATCTAGCTGTTTGCAATAAAACAAATAAGCACATTTCCCAAAATGTCTAACTCTTCCTTTGAGCTTTGAGGTGAAGCTGCGACCTCAGTTGCAAGTCAAAGCAATAACAACAACAATAACAGATGCTGCTTTTGGCAATAATTCTTTTCTTCCTCATGGTGGTTGTGCCAAAATGTGCCACCACAGACTGAACATTATCTACAGAGTCACTGAAATGCGTTCCCCTGTGAAGTTGCTGCAAGGAAAAAGAGAATATGAATGTTATCTCCAAAAGAAACACACAATGCAATATCCGCCTGTGTTTGCCTTTTCACTTTGACACACTGAACACTAATGGGTGCTCATGGATGTGATGTTATCCGCTCAAATCAACTGATATGTAAGTCAGGATCGCAGCGTGCACATGCTCATATGATAAAATATGTGTTGTTATCTGGAGATAACGGTATTTGTTTTCTTGAGATAACGTGATAATTAACTGGTTATCAGGAGAAAATTAAAATGACGCATTAAAAACCAGAAAGTCCTTCAGTCACATTCGAAGTATTGTGACCCTTCTCATAGCTCAACTAAACATTTAAAGTCTCTTTACACTTTATGATATCCACAGGAGAATGTATGAAGTGTATCGATAGTGCCACAAAAGACGAGCAGACAGTCTGTGACCTTTAGGGAAGACTGATGATAAGCAGATGCAGCAAACTAACTTCTCATTTTCTGGTTTTCCCAGAGTTTCGGGAGCGTCAAAATGAAAACTGAGAACAATCCAGCATTTTGCCTTTTTCAGTTTTAGTCATCACCCAAATCTTTATGGGTTTATCAGATACTGAACTATTCGTGACCTTTGTTTAACTTCGTGGCTGAACAATCCACACAGCTCATCTTTATTTTTACATTAAGCTTCAGTGTTATATTTGAGGTCTTGCTGCTTTCCTCCTCTGTAGTTGTATCTGTGATTTCCTTCCTGCTTATCTCACCTTGACAGATTCACACTGCTGGCTGTTTTGGTTGATACGGGGTTTTACAAATTCCAGAGAAGCTCGCAGTTGTTAGGGCGTGTTCATGCCAAACCTGTTCGGTGCAGTTTATATGCGTCTGTCCACGTGATCTCTGGTGCAGTTTGATTGTGGAGATAACTCAACACAGACCAGCTAAAGTCTTATGTTATACTTATGTTTATAAATATATGTGAGACTATGTATAAACCTCCCCTGATCATGTTTCCTTCATCATGTTTCAGTATGAGACACATTGTGTGCTTCCACTGTGTGGTGGCAGTTGTTATGTACGACGTATAAACTGATTCTTCACTGTTACCAGGACTTTTCCATTAGATCACGTGTTTTTTCTTTCAGGGTCTCCACGGCGACGGCGGCGGCCTTGTGCGTGCAGGCCATCTTCTGCTGGTTGGACCCAGGGTGCAGCACCGGAGGAGGCTGGAGACGGGCTGCCGTGTCTGGAGACAGAGGTGTGGAGCTGGGGCCGCGGGTCTGAGGGGCAACTGGGCCACGGAGATCAGCTCGCCAGGTCTGGACACACACACACACACACACACACACACACACACACACACACACACACACACATTTTCTGATTCTGACAATTACAATTTCCTCCCAAAAAATGTTAAGTTACAACATTACTTTTGTTGCCACCCCCTACTAATTTGAAATCCAACAATCAAATCACATCCTTGGACTCATTTTTGTAATCGTGGAGGAAAATAGGTTGAAATCAGCAGCTGGAAAATATTCCATTACTTTGATTTAAACAAACAAAACTGGATTTTAATCATCTTAAATCTGAATTTTGGGAGAAAAGGACACAATGACCAATTTTGTGAGGAGAAGCAGAAAAGTAATATAACTAGTTTAGTGTAACTAATTACTGTTGGCAGGGAGTGATAAGTAATAATGTTACTTTTTAAAAGAATAATGAGTAATAAATAAACACTGCCTGCAACTGATTTGGAGGTTCAGTCTCCACTGGCACAATGTCACAACTCTATGCAGTAATAGTTACGGTAACACTTAATAAAAGTAGATTTTACATGTAAGTAAATTGTAAATCTTGTTAACACATATATGTTTATTATGATCTTTATCCAACCTGAAAACCTTTGCTGCCTCTGTTATAAGTACAGAGAAATTGTAGAAAAGCATCTAATGACACTCTTTGTATTGATCATACGATTGTTACAACGATGTAATTGTGTGGTAGAGTTTACTTCATGTGGGAAATAAATGACTTGAAATGCAGTTAAAGTTTTAAAGTCACAAAGATATAAAATACAGAAGACTAGAATTACACAAAGTCTACACAACCTGTGCAGGGTTAGCATGATAATATAATCACACACACACACACAGACAGTCACTGTAGTTTGACAGTTATGAGTGAGACAGACGACTCTGTGTAGACAAGCTGTTTCTGTTTCTGTGTGTGTGTGTGTGTGTGTGTGTGTGTGTGTGTCCAGACTCCAGCCTCTGTGCATCAAGCCTTTGACAGGCGAGGAGGTGATCCAAGTCGCGGCGGGGTCACACCATTCACTGGCTCTCACCGCTCACTGCCAGGTAACACACACACACACAGACACAGAGAACTTAAACCTTAAGCTTTAAACTGTCTCAGAAAGCGTTTTAAAGAAGTGAAGACTGACCCGAAAGGCCGTCACTTTCACCCTCTAAAGGTCGAATCGGTCCTCACAAACATAGAAGTACTTATAACTTATATCTTGTGTTTTTTGCAGGTGTACTCGTGGGGCAGCAACATGTGCGGGCAGCTCGGCCACGTCAAGAGTCCTGTCACTGTACCACAACGGGCGAAGGTTGGTTCACTCAACTAATTTATAGCATTGCTGTGAATTATTGCTTATTTCTTCTAGTAAATCAATGAATGTATGACTGATAATTATAAATGAAGATGTAAACGTCATTATTAGGTGGGTAAAGATCAGACTGTAAAACATACTCAAGCACATAGAAAGGTTTTTATTACATGTAAAATGTTGTAGTCACACTAACTGATCTACATCGCCTGTGATTTGTCCCTGCTGGGCCTCCGTAGCTGTCTGACGGCCTTCGGGTTTGGGACGTGTCGGCCGGTCAGAGCCACTCCCTCCTCCTCGCTGATGGAGACTGCGTCCAGCCGGTCCTGTTGTACTGCGGCCAGCAGCAAGAGCTGGTGTCATCAGCGCAGAGCAAGAGGTCAACGCAGAGTCAAAGGTCGTGCCAGAGGTCACCCAACAGAGCGGAGAGTTACAGCGTCAGACCCAACCTGCTGCCCTTCTGCATGGAGGTTTGTACAAAACACAGCTGTTCAGTGTGGTTGAAGTACCAAAAAAATACCCATATAAACTTATATATGTCTGGTTTTATTGGCAGGAATCTACAGAGCTGCTATTTCTAACATACATTTATTTATTTTTATTGAAGAAAGGGAGACAACATTAACTGTGTGTGTGTGTGTGTGTGTGTGTGTGTGTGTGTGTGTGTGTGTGTGTGTGTGTGTGTGTGTGTGTGTGTGTGTGTGTGTGTAGATGGGTTACATTAGCAGTGTGTGCAGCGGTGGTCAGAGCTGTGCGCTGTTGGCGGACCAGAACGTTATGGGTTTTATCTCCGCTATCCACGAGCTGGCCTCCAGAGAGAGACAGTTCTACTGCTGGTTGAGCAGCGTCAGGAAGCTCCTCCTCACGCCGCTGCGTACCAGAGGTGAGAGGGTCTAAAGGTGTTGACTAGCACCAGTTGCTGTGGCGGTATTTACTCATATTTTCTATATTTCCACCTCAGTATCGGTGGTTTTAAATGCGTTTATCTTAAATGTAAATAAAAACATATGAAATATTGTCAAATGGAAGAAATCTGTGCTGAAAATACAACAAATTATCTGTAAAATAATATATTCGTGATGATTTATACATACATACATCAACTTAATGTGTGTATGTGTGTGTGCTCTCCTCCACAGAGAGTGTGTGTCCGGCGTTAGGGGAGTCGTGCACTCACCTCTTCTTCTCTCTCTGCGAGAGTTTTGGTCGTCTGAGCGTCCTGATCGGTCGACACTCCACGTCACTCAGCTACTTCCTTCATGATGTGCAGGGTCGCGATGTCATTTCCCTTCCCCTGCTGACGCACACAGAGCACTTTGTGGACGTCTATAAGGAGTAAGGGTTCACCTTTTTGTCTCAGCACACACAAAAAAACACAACACTGTCATTTTAATACAGACCTTTATATTTTATATTACAAATACACAGTGTTCATTTGTTTTTGTCTCCCTGCGTCACTCTATTCTTGTATCTTACTGTTTGCCTCATTTACTTTATGTTTCATCCCACTTTATTTCTCGTAGTAGAATATCTGCAAGTTTTGTTTTGAGTTTTTATTTTACAGAAAATGTTTTATTCTCTCATTGAACACAAACGACCTGTAAAAAGACTGTTGCTCTGATTATTTTACACATGATTTAACAGATAGAAATTACAAGAAGAGGCTTTGCTCGTTTCTTTTGCTCTTTGGGCTGGTTAGAAAGAATTTGGACAATCTGTTATCTGTTGTGTGGGTTTAAGACACAGTCCGAGAAGGTGACAGTGTTTTTCCAGAGCAAATAAAATGACAGTTTACAGTTTCTGTTGATAGTAGATGGTAAGAATGTGGCTAATGTGAGATAGAGGCTGTTTTCACAAGGACATTCTTACTCTGTACGTGAATTAATATCCTTATTAAAATCTCTCCTCTCTGTGTCCGTCTCTCTCTGCAGGTATTGCTCTTCAGTAGGTAACTTCCAGGTGATGGGTGGATTCCAGTTGCTCCATAAACTCTCACTGTAAGCTCCTTTACTTTGTCTTTATGTTTCTCTTTATGTTTTCACTGCTCGCCTCAAGTGACCTTTCCCTAAAACATATGACTCCACATTCATATTAAGGAGACCTCATCAGTGCTGTTATGGACCAAACATGGAGTTATTATTAGTAGGAAAGGATTTAATAATAAGGATGATGATCGTGCTCATGCTAAATAACCAGTTCTTCTGTTATCTTTCCCCAAAACAAACCATAAGATATAATCACATCACTTCCTGTGCAGCAGGAAATAGTCACAGACACATATTTAGGTGAGTGTACTGATATGAAGATATTTAATCATTTCTTTCTGTCTTTCTGTCCAGTGAGTGTTTAGGCTCTCAGCAGACCACGCTCGCTCAGCTGTGCGTATCAGACCAGTCTGTCAGTGGTGATGTTGACCTGGTTTCGTTGTTGTACTGGCCTCTGCAGCAGCTCCACCAGTACAGCCGAGTGCTGCTCAAACTGGCCGCCTGTTACGATGTGGTGAGGAGCAAACTCTCTGCTCTCTCTCTCTCTCTCTCTCTCTCTCTCTCTCTCTCCGTTCATGCTTCTTCTTTCTGTCTGCGCTTTTAGTCACTCAAAGCACTTTACTCATTCTGTGTTCCTTCTTTTCCCTCTTTCACTTTCTCTTTTTCTAAATGTCTTTATTTCTCACGATTGAGTAATTCTGGATATATTCTAACTAAGTCTGTATTGTTTCGGATGTATTCTCCTGACTGACCGTCACATTTAAACAAAGATGCTTTAGCTTGAATAATAAAAAAAAAAAACTTGGTTGTTTAGTTATTTAGTGATAAATTAAATACATTTAACATGACAAACTAATGCTTCAACATCTGGAGAGAATTTAGCTTTTTATCATTGACCTGGATATGATATTGTCTCACACTGTAGACTAATTTTCTAACAAATATAGAGGATTTTGCAGTCTTGGTCAGTTTTCATCACATTTACTACAGTGGAGAAGAAAATAATCCACAAATTAAAAATTAAAATGGCTAAATTTGTTCCAGTGGTCTGCTGCTGAGTGTACGGTTTGTTTGGAACTGTGATCTGGTAGTGGAGGTTTTGTAAGAGGTAAGGTAAGTACAATTAAAGCTGTCTCACTTTTTCTTTCTTTCCCCCAGTTAACTACAGAGTATCAGACCCTCCATCAGGGCTGTACTCAGTACGAGTCGCTGTCTTTGTCCCTGCTGAGGAAGAAGAAAGAGGCTGAAATCACCTTCCTCTTCTGGAAGACTCATTCTGGAAAAACTACTGTGAGCACAACTCTGTTAACTTATTCTAACCTGCTAACATTCTTCCTGATTGTACTGTTGAGGAGAGAAAACTACGATACACGTTGTTATGTTTGTTATGTTCCTGAAAATAATTCCTGAAGCCTTAATCCACTTAATCTACTCTGTTTATGACATGTATTTACATGTATTTATCTGCTCTCCTGCTCACAGGGAATGTTTAATTTACCAAACATGGCTTTCTGTTTGCTCTTTTAAATCAGATATTATTCACAAAGAGAGAGTTTTTTTGCCCTTGACAGGGAGCATTTGCTCAACCAGCAAGTCCAAACACTTAAGATTACCTGATAGGTGAGGTTGTGATGATCAGCGGTGTGATTGGGGTTGTTGTCTGCAAGTTCTATCAAGCTAGAGGGCACAACTCAGAGCAAAGACATAGCTTCAGGGTGGTTTTATTTAGTCTACTAGCTGTAGTAATCAGAGAGCAAGTAGATATATATGTAGATTGGTACATACAGTATGTGTCAGTGCTCAAATGGAAACTAGGGTCGAAGTTTGAAGTTTATTTATTTAAAAGGGACATTCATTAACACAAGGACTTAAGTCCACTATGTAAATGTACCAGATTTAGTCATACAGGGTAATTTTCATCTGCAGTCCCTGGCAGGTTAATGGGGTATCAGAAGCATTAAAAGAAAACATACAAAAACACATAAGCACAAACAAATAGCCCATGAACACAGACAGAATCACATAAACACAGACAAAAGCACGAAAGGACAAACAATAGAAACAAGTGTCTCCCCAACGATGGGAAATATAAGTAAAAGGTACCAAAGTGGGAGGATTGGAGCTGACAGCAGTGATAATGTACATAAAAGATAATTTGACCATTAAATTACAAATGTGAAAATGTTAAATGTCTTATTGGACTTTTTTTTTTTTCCACCGAAAGTCTCAAGTCTTATTCATACATGCAGCTTGTCCCTCTACTGAATCTGCTCACCTGGTTAATAACAGAATTCAATAATCAAATGCACACGTGTGTTTGTTCATCAGGAGGTCCTGCGTCTCCCACAGCGTCGTTTGGTGTGTGACTGCAGCAACAGGAGTCTGACTCTGCAGAACGCCGGCCGCTTCTCCAACCACTGGTTCATGCTGTTCAATGACGCACTAGTGCACACACAGGTACACACACACACACACACACACACACACACACACACACACACACACACACACAGAAAATCTGTCCAAAAAAAACTGTTTACTTAAGTGAACTTTCACTGTTTAAACATTAAGGAACGTCCACAGGATCTTTGTTTATATGTCAGATAAAGCTTCCACTGGATCTGTGTGTGTGTGTGTGTGTGTGTGTGTGTCTCTGTCCTCCTGGTGTTTCTTTCCAAGCATTTCACAGATAAAGTTTATATTTGTATCTTTTAATCACTCAGGGTGCCATTCCCTCTCAGAGCCTCGTAAGTATATCTGACATCAGTTTACCCGGCTTCACCTCCAGCCAACCAACCAACCAACCAACCAACCAGCCAGTTTAACCACACTGAGCTTTGTGCTGCAGCAGCATGGGTGTGCTGGCCTCTATTCAGTGCTTTCACTTTGACAGGTTCACATGGGACAACTTAATAGATGTTAACACAGGACTTTATGTAATGTTAAAGGGACTGTTAACACCTTCCATCCAGATGCTGATTTCCAGTTTAGTTGGAACATCAAGCTCAAGCTAATGTCCTTCAGTTTCATTGAAGGTATAAAGTTCAGTTTTTGTTGAAACTCTCAGTATTGTGTTATTCTGGGGTGTTTCTAATATTTAGTTTAGACTAACTGAAGGAATATCGAGGCTTTGTAATACTGCAACCCTTAACATTGCAGATGTTTTGTGTTAACATTTATTTTTTGCATGTTGTCCTGGTGGCTGATTCTGAGCTTTAGCCGCTACAAAACAGGCTGCTGTTTGTGTGTGCGTGCCTGCGTGCGTGCGGGGGTGTGTGCGTGCGTGCGTGCGTGGGTGTGTGTGGATTGGGGTGTTTTTTTTTTTAAATGTGTTTGCAGCATTAGCCATTTAGTGGTGAAAATAGATGAGGTCATAGTTTGCAGTAGCTCAGAGCGCATAAAGATGCCGGTGAAAGGATGCAACTCTGCACTGCAGTCTGTCTTTAAAAAGCATTTGATCCAAGAGACGACGACATCACCTGCTCTCAACAAGAAGACACTGCCCAGATGACAACATATTTACTGTCGTCTTGTCCTGTGTTTTCTGTTCTAGTGATCCCTGACTAACTGCTTGTGTGTGTTTGCTGTGGGGTTATAGACAGCAGATAGTTAGTGGTCTCTCTGTGGTGTTGGGTTCATGTCCTGTGTTGTGTAGTAGACCTTTCATGAATGTATGTACATTTTAATTTAATAGTTAAGTGTTAATTAGCATATCAGATGTTTTGATCAACAAATCAAATATACTTTGCATAAAACATACTTTAAAGGCAGCTGTGTTTTTAGTTAAATTCCAGTATGTAGTGCAAATCAACTTAAAACTAACCAATCAATTGAAAAACTTAATGAATGCTTTGAGGTCGTGTTTTAGTTAGTTACCACTGGATGGTAAATCTTACACACTGGTCCTTTCAGTTTAGTTTAGTTTTGCATGTTCTGGTTTTGTTTCTTCTGTACTTTCAATAAAAGAACAGAAGTGGAAACATTACTCAAATACTGTGAAGGTCAAAAGTCCGTGAAGGAAACTGTTGACAAATATGTGATTTTTGTAATAGAATCAGGAAGTGGTGTACAGTAACATCTTCCTCACATGCACATACAGTAAAACTGAGATCACAGATGTTTTGTGTGACTTCCTTTATTCACTAGAAAAGACTAAAGACTGAGACCAAGACGCAGATCTGTTGAACACATGCACATGATCTGGATTTGGTAATATCCTGAAAACACTGATTTAGTAATCTGTGATGATGAAATATATGAACTGCTGCTCTGTCTCTGCAGTTCTCCACACATCACATCTATCCTCTGACCTGTCTGTGGGTGAAACCAGTTACTGAAGACAGCAGCGGACTGTGAGTTTTTAAAAATACAAACTGTGAACGTCAAAGTTAACGTGACTAATGCAAATAAAAACTCATGGATGTGAGTAAAATTAGGTGATTATAGGTGATTATGATGATGAACATAAGACATCACATGTACAGTAATGTAATGTTATGGCCTCATGGACACAGTGTGTTGTCACCCTTTTATGAATGAGGCTTTTTAAGTCCTGGAAGTCTGCGTTAGGTCGTTGGTTCGACCACAGATGGAGCTGAAGCAAGCAGCAAACACGACGGCTGTCTTTTGAAGTACATTTGGCATGCAACATACCACTCTTTAAACCATAAAACCCAGTTATTGGAACCATTTTCTCAGCGACACATATTGGAGGAAGTCAAAAATAGTTCCTTTCATTGACTCAGCATCTAGTGGCGAGTTGATGAACTGCATTTTGGGCTCTTCAGCAAAGCTGAACATTCAACCCACGGCCATTGATTACTGCATGGCTCATACCCAGGGTCTTCTCTGGGTCTACATCATATATATATCTATATATAGATATAGATATATACAGTATATAGTGCTAAAGGAGTGAAGGTCAATGTCTGTGTCACGGATTAAAAAATATTCATACAATAGCTAGAACATCTGGCTGTGGCTGTTTCTTCGATTGTACTTAAGTAAAGTCTAAACTACTTAAAACTAAATTCTTAAGCGTGATGTCCACCCAATTTTATTTTTCCAAAAGCACTTGTAAGTATGTTGGATTTATCTTCCAGATTATCAAAACAGTCTTTTTGTGAACTGCCTTTTTAATGTATGCTGTTACACTTTGCTTTTTGTTAAAATATTATATACAGATCAAGTTTATCACTGTCCTTTCGTCGTGTGTCTCTCCAGCTATGCCATCAAAATTACATGTCCAGAGGAGAGTTTCACGCTGGTGGCAACGACTCCACAAGAGAAGGTACATTTATGGTTTACACACTTGTAATTCAGGATGATCAGTAGTGATCTGATTTGTGAATTAATAACGATTCAACATTATTCCTAAAGAGCAAAAGCGTAGCACATTTCTATTCAGTGTACTGTATTATTAGCAGATTAGCAGATATAGAGACCCAACTCTTATCTAGTCTGATTTTCATTTGTTAAAAAATCAGATTTAACTTCTTTTCTTTTCCTAAACTGGACTAAACTTATTGAAGATACAAATCAGGGTGTGGCCAACTTATTTTTGTGGTTTGAATGACGAGAGGTTCTGACATGGTGGAGCACGTTAATGTGGGAGCAAATACGGTATCAGGACTTGTAGTTTGTGTGGGTTTCAACTATGGCCAATCACACCAATACTCAGGTTTACCTCCAAGAGCAGAATACTGTATGTCCCTTTTTATAGGTCAACTTTAGTCAAGAGGCACTGAAATCATAATATTTTGAATGATCGTCATTTTTAATTCAGAATCTCTCTCTTCAGAACAAGTGGTTACGATCTATTAACCAGGCGTTGGATCAGGTGCTGGGCGGCGGAGGCCAGGGGTCGTCGCCGGGGGTGACGGGAATATCTCGCACGGCCTCCTACACGTTCAGTGGAGAGGGACGCTTTAAAGACGCCCAGTACACCGGGGGGTGGCTGGCAGGACGAGTTCATGGCAGGTTAGAGATGTTTGTCTCTTTTTGTGTGTGTGTGTGTGTGTGTGTGTGTGTGTGTGTGTGTGTGTGTGTGTGTGTGTGTGTGTGTGTGTGTGTGTGTGTGTGTGTGTGTGTGTGTCGATATCACCTCCATCTCTGTTAGAGTGTGACAGATACAGTCTGTGATGAATCATGTTTGCATATGGGTGTGTTCATAAAAGTGTGTCAGCCTACTACACGACTCTTGAGTATTGGAAGTATTAGCCTTGTTGAAAACATTTTATCATTTAAAACAACAGCTTGGTACAGTAATGAGAGGGTAAAGAGCAAAAACAAGCTCTCTAAAATTGTTAATATTGCTGGGAAGGTTGACGGTCTGATCATATAACTGCAGATACCACACACCCTGTACACTAAAGTTTGAGCTGCTCCTGTCTGGCCGTTGTTTCAGCGTCCAAGGGCCAGCCAGGTCATATACAAGAGGTCTTTTATTCCCTTTGCCATACAGGCTTTGGACACAGAATGACTGCATTAGGGAAACATGATATGCTTTAGTACTATTCATACAACCGATTTGCTGCTACCGGCCCATTAGCACTGTTGTACGTTGAATATTTTGTATGTTTTTAGCGGTGTGTTGTGCTGTTTGTAATATATGTACTGAGGTGGACAATAAAGTCAGTATATTCAGGACGGAGGTCATATTTCAGGACGATGAAATGGACATTAGTTCAGCCCTCAAACCGGTAGAGACCTGTGGGGCAAAGAGGAACAGTGTGCTGTACGGTACGTGCTGGGTCGGCGTGGACTGTGAGATTACAATTTCCTGCTTTGTTTAATCGAGTCTTTGTTAGACTAAAGGTTTAAGTTGATTCTACCTGGTAGTCAAGGGTGAAGAAACTTTGTTGTCTTGTGAATGTTCAAACTTTCATTCAAGAGATTAGCATTGATATTTTTTTAAGATGGTAAGAAGAAGCGTTTTGCTGGTACTAATTTTGTTGCTAAATAAAGGGCCATAAATAGACTGACCTGATTTATGTGCAAATAGCTGGATGATAAACATATATTTGCCTTTACAGAGGCACCATGAAGTGGCCAGATGGACGGACCTACAGCGGGAACTTTAAGAATGGACTGGAGGATGGGTAAGGCTTTCATTTGCTTTCACATTTTAAACATCCAATAGGCCTGAAACTGTGAAACCAGCTGAATGTTTTGTTATTTGCAACTGTGATTAACTAGCAAAGATTAAACTGTTGTCTCAACATTTCTGTACGACTGTTATTTATCTTTTTTCCAGCTATGGAGAGTGTTTAATACCTAACAAAGTGCTGAATAAGCCAGACAGCTACCAAGGACACTGGAGAGATGGCAAGATCCATGGTTTCGGCAAATACAAGTCAGTACACCTATTTTCTTCTGGCTTTTGGGTAGAGAGTTTATGTCTTCATCAACAATATGTAGTTCAGTCTTTAGTCACCAACCAATGATTGGACTGTAGCGCTACATCACCTCTTTACAGCACTGTGTTTTGAAACCCACAACCCTGGAAGTCTTAGTGCCTTGCTCCACATATCTACCCAGGTATGCCAGTGGCGAGGTGTACGAGGGCTGTTTCAGTGACGGGCAGCGGCACGGTTACGGCATGCTGAGCTCCGGTAAGCTGGCCAAGAAGTCCTCGAGTGTTTTCATTGGCCACTGGGTCAATGACAAGAAGACAGGATACGGAGTCTACGATGATATCACCAGGTAGATTGACTTGTTGTATACGCTCCCTCCGTGGAAAGTTTCCTTTAAAGGCTTCTTGTTTTAACCCTGGAGGCTGAATTATATTGTTGTTTAATAATAATTATCACAGTTTTGTTTTAATACTTAACTGACAGTGTTAAATGTGCAGTGGGTGAATTTAAATGTCGTTCACGAAGCCACACAGCTGTTTGTTAGTCACTGCTCTCATGTGTCTTCCCCTCCACAGAGGTGAGAAGTACATGGGACTGTGGTTGGACGAGCAGCGGCACGGCAGCGCTGTGGTTGTCACCCAGTGCGGTGTGTACTATGAAGGGAGCTTCAGAGACAACAAGATGAGTGTAAGTTCACCCTGAAGTACGCTCTTCATCATTCAACTGTCCTCAACAGTTTGAGGAACTACGGGCCTTTAAAACCTTTAAATCTGGATTATTTAAAATGTGGCCCAGTAAATATTGTGATATAAGTTAATTTACCTAAACTTGCTATTATATTTATCATGTCATATTCTTATTGTTAACTATGTTTAAAGCTGCAAACCTATTTAATATATTATGATATAAAAGTAGGTGGATAACAGCAACTTGTATGAATGCTCTGATGTGTAGTGCCACTTAAACACAACAGGTGGTGCCGATGAGCTTAGATTTTTTTCATATCAACTGTCGTTAACAAATAACATCACACTGACAGTGAACAAGATCATTTATATGTGTAATTGTTGAATTACTGTGTTTACTTCTATGTGAGTCTGTGTGACAATGAGATTCCACTGAAACAAGGGTTTGGTTTATGAAAATGTATTTTTATGTCAATTCAGAAATAAATTAACTGTGAATCTCTAAAAGCAAATAGGGGATATATTTAATGATACAGTGGTTTAAGTCACAGCTATAATAGGTTGCTTTAGTTGAATCAGAAATCATTATGAACAAATGTAATCAGTGGACCCAGTCCTGATCGTTGTGCTCCATAATATATGACTTTGTAAAGTTTGATGCAGTGTGTGTTTTTTTTATCAGGGTCCAGGTCTGTTGGTGTCAGATGACGACACAGCTCTCCACGGGGAGTTTACTGACGACTGGATTGTCAATGGGAAGGTAGAAAACATCTCTGACCCCTTTTATCTGTGTGGTCTGGTTGTATGTCTGTCCTGCTCTCCAGTAACTCTTGTATAAGTTTAACGGTGAATGAACATGAATAATTAGATAAGGAGTTACTCCCTTCCTCTTCAGGGTGTTTTATCTCTGGCTAACGGAGACTGCTTGGAGGGCATGTTCAGTGGCGAGTGGACCGTGGGGCTGAAGGTGGTTGGGACGTACACCAAACCAGTCGTCGATGAACCAGACAACAAAGAGAGAAACTGCCTGCTGTGAGTATTACTTTGTACTCCTTTAAACCTGGAATTAACCTGTTTGTGTGTATTTATTTCTATTCCTGTGATATATTCTCTGTGTTTGCCATCAGTGTTATTGAAAACATGACAGGGATATTCAAGTTTGTGTCCTCTAGAGCTCGTGTTCTGTTAAATAAAATGTTTAAAATGTGTGCCCGTGCAGCAGGTTGGGTCAGTATGTGGTGCCTGCGGCTCAGAGGTGGTTGTGTGTGTTTGATGAATGTTGGAGTCGGCTGGGCTGTGACGGTGCTGGGAGAGGAGAGAGGACGGCAGCCTGGGACAAGATCGCTGTTACTATAACGACTGCACGGCGACACAGGTACATACAGCAACACACACACACACACGCAGGCAGATGTAAACTGTATCATACCTTCGTTAGATATACAGATGTATTTGTGTGTGTTTGTAGCCCGGACCTCAGCAGGTCTCAGACCAAAGTGTTGGAGTGTTTGGAGTTTATCCCTCAGCACGGTGAACCAGTCAACACCGCGAACTACGACAACATACGGAAATACCTCATCAAGGTACAGGCGGCTGTGAGGTTTGATCTGGAATATATATATATATATATATATATATATATATATATATATATGTTCCTTTGTCTGTGGTTCTGTTGGTGTAATACTGTCTATCTGCATGTCTGTCTTTGTGTGTCAGGCGTGTGAGACTCCTCTCCACCCTCTGGGCTGGCTGGTGGAGACGTTGGTGACCGTCTACAGGATGACTTACGTCGGTGTGGGATCCAACCGCAGGCTGCTCAGGCAGGCCGTCCAGGAGGTTCAGGCCTACCTCACACATTTCTACAGCATTGTCCGGTACATTTAAGTTCTGAGTTTTCTCTTTTGTTCACTTCTTAAAAGTCTTTTGTAGAAGTTGACCCTCTGTTTTCAGCTGGGTCTAGTGTACGTTGCATGGTATATTCAGCCCCTTCTGTTTATAAGATTACATCCAGGTCACTTCACTGAATAACATAAATTGTTGCAGGTTTCTGTTTCAGGGGTTACCAGATGATGGAGGCATCATTCCAGACCCTCCTCCCTCGCCATCTAAAAGCAGACACAACTCTAACAGCATAGAGCAAGGGTGGGTGTGAGTGACACACACACACACACACACACACACACACACACAGAAGACATCCTCATCCTCAATCAGACGGAAACAAGAACTTCTTTATCAGCTTGTCCATCTTTATTTGTATATATATATATATATATATATATATATATATATATTTTTAAAATCGACAGTATGTAGAACCTTCATCTCTCTTTCTCTCTCCTCCTCCTCCTCCTCTTCCTCCTCTAGCAGTGTTATGGTGGTGTGCCGCTCCTCTCTGCTCCTCCCTCTGCTGCTCCCTCGACTCTACCCTCCTCTCTTTACCCTGTACTGCCTGCAGGAGGAGCAGGAGGAGGCCCAGTACTGGGACCGCATCCTCAGACTCAACAAACAGCCCGACCAGTCTCTGCTCAGCTTCCTGGGAGTGAAGGAGTGAGTATGTTTGTACGCCCACAGATGCTGTCTGTAAATGCTGTGTAGTCGTCACACACACTTTCTTCTTGTTGTTACAGTCTATTGTTGTTTTTTGTCTCTTGCAGGAAGTTCTGGCCTGTTTGGATGTCAATTCTGGGAGAGAAAAAGCAGGTCAGCTACTAAAATGTGCTATTTTCTGCCAGTTTCAAGCTTTCACTCCACCCGTCCACCACTCATCTTTTGTGTTGTGCTCTATAACTGTTTCTCTTCACCTTCGTCACAGATTGTGTCGAGCAGTAAAGACGCCTGCTTTGTTTCCGCTGTAGAGACGCTCCAACAAATCAGGTAGCTGCAGCGTTACCTGACGTAACTTCATTAATAATGTCAGTAAATGTGACTTGATATCGATCAATACAGTGTGATTAGAGTCCAGACTCTCATGGAACCCAACTGAATACAGCAGATTGTGCTTGTGGTGTTGTTTGTACTCATTTTACCCTGATTGAAACCATGTCCTGTTTATAATAAACTCCAGAAGTAAGAGTTGTAGGTAACAGTTAGACCTACAACAGTACAGGTACAGTTTAGTTACAGTGTTTGCCGAGTTGGTGGATCTTGTGATACATAGACGGGAGTAAGTGGTGCCTTTTGAAACCTTTTGGGGCAGTGAGTTTCCTCTAAACTAAAAGAGGGTTTTTATGTGTATGAATAAATATAAAAGTGTCTCCCCACACATGCAGCACCACCTTCACTCCGTCAGACAAACTCTTCGTCATCCAGAAGACGTTTGACGAGTTGACCCAGGAAGTAAAACCTATGCTGGACGACAACTTCCTGTGGTGCATGGATGACCTGCTCCCCCTCTTCCTCTACGTGGTACTCAGGGCGCGGTGTGTTCACATTCAGTTATTACTCTGTACACGGCTAGTGTAGATTAATTTGGACTGAGCAGACGCTGCAGGATGGCGACTGAACTTGTGTTTTATTCTCCAGGATCAGGAATTTGGGAGCTGAGGTCAGTCTGATAGAAGACTTAATGGATCCCAACGTTCAGCACGGAGAGCTGGGACTGATGTTCACCACACTGAAAGTAGGAACCGCCAACACACACACACACACACACACACACAGATGCTTCATGCTTTTACACATGGTGGTAAATTAAGAATGAATGACTATTATATTTCTTAAACTGATTATCAACCTCTATTTCTTGAGTGTAGTCTGCAGTTGGAACTAAATTTCTCTGCAATCTTTCAAAATCTGATGGCATTTTTACACAATTTATCTTTGTTCATAGGATCAAATGAAAGATTGGTGTGTGTCTTAGTGTTTTTTAGGTGATATAATATGTTCATGATCATCAATCGTCATTTAATCATCAATTCATTGATTTACTCTGCTGCAGGCCTGCTACATCCAGATCCAGCAGGAGTCCATTACATAGGAGCGGACAGGAAGACGACACACAGTCAAAAATAAAAGAAGGTGGAAACAGAAAATGACTGCCAGGAGCTGCCAGAACAAACACCAGTCAAACCAGCAGTACTCTACTGGAGGAAACTGGGAAGCTGCACTGAGGCTGCACAGACAGATGGCAGCAGGAGGGTAGAGCGTTTACTCTTTCACCTTCTGTAACAATAATGTCTGACGCCTCGTTCTCTGTTGATCCTTTTACTTTGTTACAGCACACCCAAGTTCTTTCTTTTCTGTAGAAGTTTTCATAAGAAGGTAACACATCGCCATCTTCAGGCCATGTTAAAAAAAAATGCCTCTCGTTAACGTTTGGTAATATGTTGTTACCGTAGATATAGTCAGTCATTGCATCTGCTCACTCTCCATTTCGAGTCCAGTAATATTCATCAAGCTCAGTTCTCATGACTTTACAGTATTTCTTTATTTTACAGTTCACACAAAGTACAGCGAGGGGTTTGATCTGCTTTCTACCTGGAGTCAAACACCCAAAGCACAAGGGAACTGACAAACCAAGTTACTGGTTACAATACTGGTGTAAATAGTTAGTGGTCAAGGACTCCTCAAAGGGAACTTTAAAGGTTTTAAAGAAACTTAAAAAAATAACAGAAAAAAAACTTGTGTGTAACAGTATTGATCCTGCAAACATAAATTATGTACAAACCTTTTTTTACTTTGTTTGCATATAAATCAAAATATTCTCAATTTCAGTAACATCCCTCAAACTAATTTAGACATGTTTACATGCAGGAGAAATAGTTAAAAAAAAGCATCACATTAAACACTCTCCTGTACTACAAAGCCAAACTGCTCCGGCAACCACGAAGCAGTTTGTCTCAGGTCTGAACTTCTTCATATTCATAACTAACAAACAGCGAACTGATCACACGTCACTACAGAGGGAAATGATTTTGCACTTAAATTAATTAGTGAGGGAGCAATTAGCCCAAACATAAAGGAAACGTTCATTCCCGGTGTTTATATTTCATGCAGTGTTTGTTATTCTGTTGAGTGTTTGTGTGTGAGAGGAGGAAGACTTTTAATGTTGCACTGACGTCGTAGAATCCAAGTTATTGTACAAAATAAATATTCCACATTATGTTTTCAGTCCTGTTTCGTGAGCAGGACGTGACAGAAACTCTCCACAGATTTCAGTCAGTGCCTGAATCAAACCAATTCAGCTCAACTCTAACCACCACAACATAATCCGAATAATCTCAATTCATTTGGTGTTTTATATCCATTATCACAAGTTACGTGGCTGTTATTGTTTTTCTAAACCCCTAAACTAAACCAAACACCAGCCAATCAGAGGCGGAGGAGTAAAAACATGTGGTTTTACAGGTGTTTAGGGGTGCGTACGTAGACCTAACAGCAGGTGGAGGTGTTGGTACTCAGTGTTGGTACTCAGTGTTGGTACTCAGTGTTGGTACGCGGCCCATTTCAGGCACTGATTTCAGTCAGATATGGAGGAAGTTTGGCCCTCAACAAAAGTGTGAACCTTTAATTTTTAAAGGATTAATTCACTTTGCAAAACTCCTTCTTTCTAGGAACTAATGCACTTAAATTAATATATGCCAGGAAAGTCTATCACTGTGTGTTTTTAATTCAGAAATGTTTTAATCTTATAGCTGATGATTGATTTGAATACATCTGTATGTGTTTTACATTGTCAGATGCAGAGATCTTTAAGGGAATCCAAGTAGTTGTTTTTAATATCTAGTAATATATTTTAAAACTTTCTTTGTTCTGGCAAAAGAGAAAGTTTATGATCACATGAAAGTTATTATTTAACAACAAAATCAAGGGAGCTTCAGATCACTTTTAAATTAACTGTATTACTTAATTTATTTATCAATAGAATGTCATTTAAATTATTTATCAGAGATATATTAAAAGTATAAATCTTTTATCAGAGAATTTCCCTTAAACGCCGTCTGGATATTAATTAAGACAGTTCAGTCCACCAGCAGTGACTGTTGGTAAAATAATCCACAGTAATAATAAAGGAAGCATTTATTATAAAAATGTGCTGCTGTCATCACGTTACTGATTATTAATGAGCTTCAGGAATAAAACCAGCTACAAAAGACTCAGATTGAACTGCAGAATGCAACAAATGCACTTCACAAAATTACAGAAAAGCATCTTGTTGAATTACAAATCTGATTGTTTTCTTTTCTTGTAATTTCCGGGTTACTGAAAATGTGTTTGTACTGTATTTATTGTCAGTTGTTTGCACCACAGAACCTGTATCGAACAATTAAATGTTGTTTGTTGTTTGTGCTGTTAACACCGCTGCAGTTTAGTGTAATACAGATTAAAGAAAATAAGGGTGGATGAGACAAAAGCCTTCAGCCGACCTCTCTGGTCTTCATTAATAGCAGGTTAAAGGACAGTACAGATGTTTTTCATGTCTTAGCCCAAATATAAACAACTGTCTTCAGTACTGCCAATCATTTCTAATCACAAACAGGATTCTGCTCGTAGATTTCAGATCATCTCAGAATAAGTCAAACTTTTGAGATTTTAAATCTGCACGAGATCGATCCATTGCAGTCGATACTCTTGCTGTATTTATTTTTCTCATTAGAGATATTATTGTTGTAATCCAGATGTTATTGCACTGAAATAAACAAAAACCAATCACTCAAATGATTTCTAAAATGAGAAGTGATATAAAGCTCTTATAATTTCTACCATTTGGGGTAAAACATGTAAAACATGATATAATCTATTAAAGGAACCTTCATTTCTTGGAGGTTTCCGGCTTTGAGGCTTTAACCTGACTGAATTTATGACCTGAGTTCCTTATTTTTCTAACTAAGTCTATATTTTTGTTACTTCATACATTCGTAGAAAGATGATCAGGGGAACTGACTACAGAGTGTTAATTAGTTTTGAGGGATAAATGATGTAGATAGGAAATGAAAAATGTGTTTACTCGAAAAGAAAAGGGCAATAAATTTGGTTTAACTCTGGAAATGTCTCCTGATGAATCTCATTTATTTCTTCACTTTAACAGCAAACACGTTGACTTGTTATTGTAGGGAAAGCACAAGTGTCACTGATAGCAAAGCCTCACTTATATTCAGGTGTCCCATTAAATGTATTGATTACACCTTTTTCTGCTCTGACATGTCTAAATGTATTTGGTGTTCAAGGTTTAACTGGAGGTCTACGTACAGTTGTAACTAGATTACAATCTCCAGGGAGCTCAATTTACATCCAAACTTCAGTATTTGTCTCTTTAAGTCCAACTTTTTCTTGGTTTAGTAGTTTTATAGTGTAGTTTTGAGGGTGAGGACTTCCTAAAGAGAGGAAATTGTTGGGATGTTTCACACACAGGGTTGAGACATGTAGTATTGAAAGCTACTGATATGAATGAGAGTCACTTCGGGGGAATTAACAGACCATTTCGACATGAAATAGCAGGTTAAACAAAGGTGTCAGCAATGATACTAATTAAGGTTCCCTTTAATATAACAGATCATTTCCAGTGAGCCAACAGGTACAATAAAAGCACCCTGACTCTGTTTGACCTGAATGTAACTGAACTTTAATCAGTATCATTACTGACACCCTCTGTTTATAAAGGTCTGTGAATAGATCATTAAAACCACCTCAGAAAGTTGGCAAGGCCACCATATGGGACAGAATAGTTTCAACCACTCAGAGCCAAGAAACAGTTGAGGCTCATTCCCAGTTTGTATTGTCAGCTGAGTATTAAACACTGGAGATGCTGGGGATTGAACCCAGGACCTTGTACATGCGAAGCACACGCTCTACCACTGAGCTACATCCCCTTCACAGTGGAGTTATATGTGGCCTAAACTTAGAAATTCTGCATGTTTGGTAGAAACTAATATACCTGATAGATAACTGATTAAACATACCAAGTGACACTGAGATCAATAAGTATGCCACTGTTGGATTTTGTTTTACTGTTTTATGTCTCCTGACAGATAATGTCACAGTTTAGAACAGTTAATCAAAACATTATCAATAACTGAAATATCTAAATCACAGAAGCTGCAGTTTTTTGATAAAAGTAAAATGTGCGACACAATAACATTATAATGAAGAACTGTAGTTCTAAAAAGATTTTCCCACAAGTTGTGAGTCATATTGCAGTATCTGTCAAAATAATCACAATGTGATGTTTTTACCTTTTCCAATCCTCAGTTCTCACTGTTCCACAAACCTAGTCAGCTCAAATATTCATTCATTAAGTTAATAACTGTTGTAGTCTCACAGTTCCTGACCTCTGTGATCATCTCTCCTCGGAGCTACAGTTAATGTGAGCATCAGCTACACTTTCTCTGTTGGTCTCAGATGTTCAGTAGCAGGGCCTTTAAACAGGTACAAACGTAGAAACACTGGAGATGCTGGGGATTGAACCCAGGACCTTGTACATGCGAAGCACACGCTCTACCACTGAGCTACATCCCCTTCACACCAGGATCTTTTTGTCTCATAAGAAAAAAGGTGCGGTGGCCCAAAGTTAGAAACTGTGTGGACCAGGAGACTATTTAATGATGATAATTACTCTGAAAGGTGTTACAGCACAAGATGTTGGTTCAATGTCATATTTGTTTCACAATAAACAGCTGAAATATTTAAGGAGAGTTGAGCTAAAGGTCACTGTGTCCCCCCAGAATGTCACTGGCCATCAGCTCCACTAACTTAGCCACCAGAAAAACAACAACAATCATCAACATCAGTAACTGATTAATTCGTATATGTGAATTGACAAGTTTTTTGTTTTGCGTCTTGTAGTGAGCACAAGTACCTCAGCTCTGTTTGATCATCGGTCCTCAGAGCTGCGACTAACACGGACGTTGGCTTCTTCTCTCAGATGTTGAGTTCCAGGACCTATAAGAGGTAAAAATTTAATTTGTGATACAAAAATGATCATTCCCGCACTAATCTCATGTCATACTGTATCGTGGAGTCCTATTTTCTAATCTTAAAATGTAGAAATCTTGGAGGTGCTGACTAACCACAACCTTGTTAGCCACTAAAGAAGCTACGTCAGACAGCTTCAGTCAATACACTCTGTCAGTAATCTTGAATGGGATTATTATGCTTATTAAATGCTCTTCCACTGAGCTAAATGCCTTTTGTTCAGATGTGCAGATTGTCTCACTATTCATCAATCTGGTAATAAACCTCTTCTTAATTTTCATGAATTATTTAGGCAGGTTTATTTAGTCGTTTTCTTTAATTGCTCGATTAAATATAAATAATTAGGACCCTTTTAAAAAGCCCTGAGTGTCTCTAAATAAACATAGTGATAGCAAGATTATTGTCAGCTGAGTATTAAGCATTGAAGAGGTTCGTCAGTCCTATTGGAGAAGCTTGGATTGAACTCATGTCTTTAAGTGTCTGTCGCTCAAGTCCATGTCAGTTACATGGAATGCCATCAGCTTTACATCATCTCTCCTCAGAGCCACAGTTAACACAGACATCTCTTACACTTCCTCTGTTGTGGAGCAGCTGGACCTTTAAACAGGTATCACTACAGTGTAAGACACGGAGACACTGGAGATGCTGGGGATTGAACCCAGGACCTTGTACATGCGAAGCACACGCTCTACCACTGAGCTACATCCCCTTCATACTGGTATTATAGGTGGCCTAAACTTAGAAATTCTGTGTGTTTGGACCTTGGACCAGGAGACTATTTAATGATGATAATTACTCTGAAAGGTGTTACAGCACAAGATGTTGGTTCAATGTCATATTTGTTTCACAATAAACAACTGAAATATTTAAGGAGAGTTGACCTAAAGGTCACTGTGTCCCCAGAGCATGTCACTGGCCATCAGCTCCACTAACTTAGCCACCTGAAATATTCTGCAATCATCACATCAATGTCTGTTTGATGATCTCTCCTCAGAGATGCAACTAACACGGACATTGGCTGCTTCTCTCAGATGTTGAGCTCCAGGAGATATAAGAGGGGAGAGCCTGAAACACTGGAGATGCTGGGGATTGAACCCAGGACCTTGTACATGCGAAGCACACGCTCTACCGCTGAGCTACATCCCCTTCACACTGGAGTTATATGTGGCCTAAACTTAGAAATTCTGTGTGTTTAATAGGGACTAATATGTCTGATAAATCAATTAAACATACCAAGTGACACTGAGATCAATAAGTATGCCACTGTTGGATTTTGTTTTACTGTTTTATGTCTCCTGACAGATAATGTCACAGTTTAGAACAGTTAATCAAAATATTATCAATAACTGAAATATCTAAATCACAGAAGCTGCAGTTTTTTGATAAAAGTAAAATGTGCGACACAATAACATTATAATGAAGAACTGTAGTTCTGACCTACAAATCTTGTTCACCAGATTAAAGAAAAAACAATTTACCAAAAAATGTTCTATCATCATGATTTTAATTGTTTTTTTAGTGAAAATTTGTAATGAAAAAAGAATCATTCCCACAAATTGTAAATCATATCTCAATATGATGATTTAACTATATGGTGCAGTCCTACTGGCCATCAGCTTTATATCCCCATATACATTCTTACATGAATTTAACATATTATTCATCACGTCAATAACTGTTGCTGTCTTAATTCCTCATCTCTGTGATGATCTCTCCTCAGAGCTTCAGCTAACAAAGCCATCTGCTACACGCTCTATGTTCATCTCTCTCAGATGTTGAGCAGCAGGACCTTCCAACCGGTATGACTACAGTGTAAGACAAAGACATGTTGGAGATGCTGGGGATTGAACCCAGGACCTTGTACATGCGAAGCACACGCTCTACCACTGAGCTACATCCCCTTCATAACAGGTTCTTTTTTTCTCATAAGAAAAAAGGTGTGGTGGCCTAAAGTTAGAAACTGTGTGTTTGGACTTTGGACCAGGAGACAATTTAATGATGATAATTACTCTGAAAGGTGTTACAGCACAAGATGTTGGTTCAATGTCATATTTGTCTCACAATGAGATATGAGACAGCTGAAATATTTAAGGACCTAAAGGTCTCTGTGTCCCCTCAGCGTCAGACAGCTTCAGTCAATACACTCTGTCAGTAATCTTGAATGGGATTATTATGCTTATTAAATGCTCTTCCACTGAGCTAAATGCCTTTTGTTCAGATGTGCAGATTGTCTCACTATTCATCAATCTAGTAATAAACCTCTTCTTAATTTTCATGAATTATTTAGGCAGGTTTATTTAGTCGTTTTCTTTAATTGCTCGATTAAATATAAATAATTAGGACCCTTTTAAAAAGCCCTGAGTGTCTCTAAATAAACATAGTGATAGCAAGATTATCGTCAGCTGAGTATTAAGCATTGAAGAGGTTCGTCAGTCCTATTGGAGAAGCTTGGGATTGAACTCATGTCTTTGAGTGTCTGTCGCTCAAGTCCATGTCAGTTATATGGAATGCCATCAGCTTTACGTCCTCATATACCACTTCTCACATGAACTAAACATATTCATATTGTTGCTGTCTTACAATGTGATCATCTCTCCTCAGAGCCGCAGTTAACACAGGCATCTCTTACACTTTCTCTGTTCTCTCTCAGATGTGGAGCAGCTGGACCTTTAAACAGGTATCACTACAGTGTAAGACACGGAGACACTGGAGATGCTGGGGATTGAACCCAGGACCTTGTACATGCGAAGCACACGCTCTACCACTGAGCTACATCCCCTTCACGGTAGAGTTATAGGTGGCCTAAACTTAGAAATTCTGTGTGTTTGGACCTTGGACCAGGAGACTATTTAATGATGATAATTACTATGAAAGGTGTTACAGCACAAGATGTTGGTTCAATGTCATATTTGTTTCACAATAAACAGCTGAAATATTTAAGGAGAGTTGACCTAAAGGTCACTGTGTCCCCAGAGCATGTCACTGGCCATCAGCTCCACTAACTTAGCCACCTGAAATATTCTGCAATCATCACATCAATGTCTGTTTGATGATCTCTCCTCAGAGCTGCAACTAAC